TTAAAACAATGGAGCCCAAGAAATAAGAATTGCTCAAGGAATCTCCTGCTGGAAGAAGGGAAAGGTATCCACTGGAGGGTGAATATGCCTCTCAGAAAAGATTTCACATAACTTTTCAGACCACATAGCGGGGTTTGACTGAAGTCTAGAAGATGATGGAGAGTGGAGGGTGGGACCACGATTTGACCAGGGCTGCTTAGATGCATATATTCCTGCCCTCCATTTAAAGCACTTTAATTGGTGTTTCAGAATTTCATATAGGCACATAATGTGCTTTGATCAAATGCACATCTAATCTCTCCCCCTTCACTTTCTCCCTATACCACCACCACCTTTCCCTAATTTCATGTCTTCTTCCTCTTTCTTCTTCTTCTTCTTCTTCTCCTCCTCCTTCTTCTTAAAGCACAGAGTCCACTTAGATATGGCAGTGTGTGTGTGCAGGGCCATAATGTTCTAAATATTAAATTCATTATTCAACATCTTTTGACCTCTGGGCGCTTGGACACAAGCACATACACATATAAACAAACAAACAAATACATAAATAAGTAAATATTTTAAAGTACCAGAAAAAGAAAATGGTTAAAAAGTAGAATTTCTAATATTTTAATCCTGTTGTGCATTTGTCAAAATTTACTTATATCCTGTCTGTCTGTCTGTCTGTCTGTCTATCTATCTATCTATCTATCTATGCTCTATTCCTCCTGTTTACATCCCCACCCGCCCCCAGTCCACCTGCAAAATATATTTCCCCTTCACAGGGAGATCCACATGTCCTCTGAGAGCCCTCTTTTTACCTAGTAGCATGATTATCATTTTCTTAACAGCTAGTATCCACTTATGAGTGAGTACATACCATGTTTGTCTTTCTGGGTCTACATTATCTCACTCAGGGTGATTGTTTTCTAGTTCTATCTATTGCCTGCACATTTCATGATGTATTTTTTTTAACTACTGAAACTCCATTGTATGAATGAATCACATTTTCTTTATCCATTCTTCTGTGGAGGGATCCATTGTTCTTTTTTTTTTTTAAAAAAATGTCTTACTCTTATTTGTGTACGGAGGCCACATGTAAAGAAGACAATTGTTGGACTCAGTTCTCTTCTTCCATTATGTGGGCTCTAAGGACAAAACTCAGGGGGTCAGGTGTTGGGGTAAGCATATTTACCTTGCCAGTCCCCCAACATTTCTTGTAAAATGTTTCAAAATGCAAATTTAGCTATGGTATTTAAAACAAACAGAAACAACAAAACAGACTGATCTCAAACTTGCTAAGTAGCCAAAAATGGCCTTGACCTTCCTGCTGGGATTACAGTGCTGGGATTATAGACATGTGGCACTTTTTACAATTTGTGTGATGCAGGGGAATGATCAATGCACCAACTGATCTCTATCTCAATCCTCTAAAGACTTTCTAAGGTCAAGGTTTAATGTACAATGTAACTAGCTGCTAACTTTGTATCTCAAGCAAGTAGCCTTTAAAACAATAACACATTATTCTGCTTTCAGAAACATTTATACAAGTGAATTATCTTAGAAAAGATTTTATTACTTATTAAAGTAATTGCTGTTTTATGCAAATTTTCCAGAGTTTTGACGACTTAGTAAATTTATCTTAAAAGTCTAAATTCTGCCAGCCAATGGTGGATGGACAGACACCTTTAATCCCAGCACTCAGGAGGCAGAGGCAGGTGGATCTCTGTGAGTTGGAAAGGCCAGCTTGGTCTACAGAGTGAATTCCAGAACAGTCAAGGCTACACAGAGAAACCCTGTCTCAAAAAACAAACAAACAAACAAACAAACAAAAATCAAGTTCACTTAAGTTACTTGCTTAAGTCTTCTAGATGGCTACTTTACAACCATTTTAGGTGATTTTAGTGCACTTAATGCATCTGATACTGTATATATCTGTGGTGGAAATGTGTAGAGATGCATATCTGAGCTTGATATTGTGTGGGAGTTTGCAGAGTTAAAGATATGTAGTGAATGCAGTGGCTCATGCTCCGTTTGATAACAAGCCTGTCTGTGTTTTCAATGTATAAAACAGGTAATGGAATTGTTTTGTTTTGTTTTTTTATTTTTGGAAACAGGAACTCACATATACTAGGCTGACTAGTGTCATGTATCAGAGGGTGACCTTGATCTTCTATTCTCTTGCTTCCGTGAGATTACAGGTGTAGGACCAGTACTTGTTTAAGACACTGCTCTTTTTTAATTAGTTCCATTGGGGGGAGGGGGAGGGAGAGAGGGGGAGAGAGAGAGAGACAGAGACAGAGAGAGACACACACACAGAGAGAACCTGCCATTTGGATATTCCTGCTATTTGAAAACCCGGCCCACATCCATTTGTCTTATTGTGGTCTTGTATATGAGGCCACCTGTACATATGCTTATGTTTGTGTCACTAGCACTGCTCCCTAATGTGTAAGAGCCCTAAGGTTTTGGTTTTCATCTGTGCTATAGATTTATTATCCTACTAAGTAAAAGACTAAGTTTTGCTTCAAAAGTAGGAAGTAAATACATAAGGGCTCTGTGTCGTTCTGTGCAGTGATGCTGTAGCCCCCTTACATGCTCGTGTATTCTACAAGCCTTCTTGGTACGAACCTTAGGACTCTTTCCCAAGCTGGTGTCCTCTGAACTGGACCTGTTAGTAATAATACCACCCACGTCTCTGTCCATGGGTTAATTCAAACTAGGGTTCTTAAATATTTTTCTTGTGTTTCATACGCTACCTGCAAAACTTTGTAACTGCTGTCTGCTAATATTCTGCACTTGTACAACTTCTACCAAAAGAACTCAAGGGTATTACTATTAGAGTCGTCAGATATCACAAAAAAGGACAGAATTAACCACACGCTCCAGGTAGACTTGGTCTAACAGTCCTGTCTGCACACCTAATGTTTGAATATCACTAACGGCTTGAATTTGGCATAAATTCCTTAGCATCTGTGACCAGACAGACGAACCAAGGCGGATCTTACCCTCATGACAGGGGAACATGAAGCTCACATGATGGGATGATTAATCATTGATGTCTTCTGAGTAAAGGATTTGGGAATGGTGGTGTAGAATCAAAATGGAAGCCATGTTGAGTCTAGCAGCACTTCTGTGTACTTCTGCCACCTGGAGGTCTCCAGTAAGGAAACGAATTCAAGGCCAGCCTGGGCTTCATACCAAGACCCTATCACAGCACCAGGAGAAAAGGTTGGTGGTGCCATTATGAAGACAGACCCATGCACCCTTAACTCAGGCTTCTAAACTGCCTTCCTATTCTGTTGTAAGCCCCTTGTTCGTCCCAGCTGCCCAGCTAGCTTAGCCCCAAAATAACCACACAGAAATCGCATTAATTAAATTACTGCTTGGCCCATTAGTTCTATTTTCTTATTGGCTAATTTTTACATATTAATTTAACTCATTTCTATTAATCTGTATATCACCACTTGGCAATGACTTAACTGGGTAAAATTCCCAGCATCTGTCTCTGGCGGATCCAGGGCATCTCTCTGACTCTGCTTTCTTCCTCCCAGAATTCAGTTCTGTCTTCTCTGCCTACCTAAGTTCTGCCCTATCAACAGGCCAAGGCAGTTTCTTTATTCATTAACGAATACAAGCAACACACAGAGGAGATTCCCACATCACTATTTCTATTCAGCTTGCCACTTGTTTCAGGCCAAGCCACTCTTAGCTCCTCATCTTACTCACTGGGCAGAAAACATTTTGGGTATAGTTAAACACCACAGAAAACAAAACCTCTGGAGCTTTTCTTGTTTTCTCAATAAAACACGAGGCTAATGAGTCTGGTGGAGCTTGGGATGTGGCTCAGATAAAGCACATCCCTCACACGCCCTAGACCTGTGGGTTAGAAGAGGAAGACGTCTGCAGTTTAACAAGAGTTGCCTTGGTCAACATCCGACACTGGAAAAATTTCTATTAGCATATTTCCTTATTAACTTTACACAGCTGTGATCTTTCCATTTTTAGTTTCTAAAAAGAAGCACAAGATACACTGGTTACCTTACCAGAGAAGACTCATATAAATCACGTCTTTGATGCCCACTAGCTTTACAGTTTTCATAATATATACAAAACAAACTATACTAAAACCTTGGGAGTTTGTTTGATTAGGAACATAGGTAGATCTATTTGATAAGAGAGTAAGCTATCAAAACTAATTGAAAGGCCTTATTGTGGCAGAAATCCCATGGCTGGCACAAGAATAAGAAATTCGCAGAACCTAAGAAAATGAGGTTAACTTCCCCCACAGATGCTATCTCAGATACAAACCTAATGCTGACAGATGCTCAATAGGATGCCATGTGTGCCCCTGGTATAGTGATTTGGCCATAACAGGATGTCAACAGCCTTACACTTAGAGGACATTTTGGATATCCTGTTGGAGATAGTTATTGTCAGCAGGCCACATGCTATGGCTCTCCATGTACATGCACAGGGGCAGGAGGGAGGTGACATCAGATCTGAGGAAATCAAAAAGAGCAGAAAAAGAAGAGTCTCCTAAAGGCTGTGATTTGTTTCAAACTCACTGGAAACAATTTCGCACAAGGAAAATAGAAGATAGCAGTATGCAAAAATATCTCATTCTTTATTTTTAAGTATAACTGTCATTAATACAGGAAGAACTGATATTACAAAAATCAGAAAAACATTAGCATTCAATAAACAAAACTTCAAACTCAAGGCTGATCGGGAATGCAGTTTGGTATTGTACTGATAGAAGACGGACATACGTGAGTCTTAAACAGTGCTATGAAGTAAAACAGGTAAATTCTAGCAGGGCGACAGTGTGCTGGACAAACTCATGGACAAACATCTGGTTCAGACTGTCAGAGATATTCAAAGCGCAGTCTATTTCAAGAAAGCAAGTGCCTCGGCAATGACAGGATCATGGACGGTGTCAGGGAGAGGAAGTCTGTGCTCTTTCATTTTGTGTTCCTTAGAATCTCTAAGAAAGTGGTAAGCAAAATAAATTTTTTTAAAAAAAAAAAAGCCACATGGGGACCTTTTAACCCCTTTAATCACACAGTAGAAGGAAACAAACTAAATGGGCTGACATTAAAGCCTTCGAAAGCTACAATAAACTATTATTTATCCAAAAACAACAAAATCATGTGTGGAGAAAAATGGGAAGAACTGGAGATCATTACGTTAAGCAAAGTAAGCCAGACTCAAGAAAATAATGGAGTACATCTTCTCTCATTAAAGAACCTAGGACAAACATTGTAAGTGGAGGGAGCCATCTAGGAGGTGGAGGTGAGGGTAAGAAGGCTGGATACAAGCAAAGTACATCACATAGCTACATCATACACAATGGAGAAAATGAAACTCATTACTTCATATAATAGACCCTAACAAAAAAGAAAAACATCTACAACTTGAATGCATTTTATGTCAAATGTCGAATCAACACTTGAACTAATGTTAATAAACTACAGAACATTAAAAAAAAAACATAAAATACAGTCTGTCCCAGAACTGGAGAATTCATTCCTTTTTTAATGATTCCATCTACAGAAATTCCTAAAATCAGAGTAATCATTGGCACACCTGTGAATCATGAAAACCTGATGCTTTTTATCAAAACAAAGGGGAGAAATTTCAATTGAGGCCAAGGATATTATATCCTCACCAAACATTTTTTTCAGTTCTTTGTGCTCCACGTCACATAAATGCATTATTTTTCTAAAGAAGTGAGGACAGCTGGACTGAATTTAGCCCAATGTTACGAGACGCCTGACGTCTCCATGCTAGGGAAGGATCCGAAATCTAAGCGCTCTACTATAAAGCAGCTTCGTTCTTTCACTTTTTCTTTTTAAAAAGGCCTGAAGCAGTACCCTTCACCTGGCGGAGCCCAGCCACTGCCTTCCTCCCTTTACCAGCTTTCCAGGACACCGGGTGAGCTTTGGCCCTGGTGTTCTTGCCCCTCTTGCGTGGCTTCTTGTCTTTGTGCACCTTCATGTGCTGCCGCAGGTGAGAGCTCTGGCTGAAGCACTTGTCACACTCCTCGCACTGGTAGGGCTTCTCCCCGGTGTGGGTTCTCTGGTGCTGAATGAGGTGGGAGCTCTGGCTGAAGCACCGGCCACACTCGTCACAGCAGTAGGGCTTCTCTCCAGTGTGAACCCTCTGGTGCTGAATGAGATTGGAGCTCTGCTTAAACCTCTCTCCGCACTCATCACACTTATAGGGCTTTTCCCCAGTGTGGATCCGCCGGTGCTGAATGAGGTTCGAGCTCTGGAAGAAACTCTTCCCACAATCAGCACATTTATGGGACTTCTTTCCTGTATGGATCTTCTGGTGCTGAAAAAGAGTGGAGCTCTGACCGAAACTCTTCGCACATCTAGTACATTTGTAGGGCTTCTCATCCACATTCCTTCTCCGCCGACTTAAGCCGGAGTCGAATCGAATGGTCACCCCCCATTTCTGCCGCTGGCGGCCTGTCTTACGCTTGGTCTCGTAGGTTTTGCCTTGGTTTGAGCTTCGAGAAATAGCACCTTTAGGCTTTGCTAACCTCATGGTGAATAACCAAATGTATCGTCAAGAGATTCTACTGTCTTCTGAACTAGGGTCTCATAGCCTAGAGAAACGTAACTCAGAATTTTCTGCATGTAGAAGAAAAATAGAAAGAAAAAACACAGATCAACTGTTATTCAACCTTAACACACCTCTTCAGTCTAACAAGATTGCATCCAAATTTAAAGCAAAGCACACCTAAAACAAAACAAATGGCATTTTAAGTGACAAATACATGCCAGTTAACTCTAACTCCACAAGTTAAACTCAAATATTATCAGAATCAATTTGCAATTTTACTATGCTTGGGCAGGCAAAAGAACTGGTGGAGAGAAACATGAACGTGTTAGGGAGCAGCAACAGAGAGGAACTGAAGGACAGAGAAGTTAAAACAAGAGACAGTTTCAGTGGGAATAGAAAAATAACTGTAAAAGACCATCAAACTTTCTGCCGTAGAGCATTTCATTTCAGCGCTGATTGCTAATTTTCTCATTTAATAGCCGCTACCTAAGACGCTCAACTTTGAAAGAAATGAAAGATTATACTACTCTACCATAGATTCCTATCTATTCTTACTTGCATGGCTATTTCTGTTGATCATAACCTAGCAAACTGTGTTGAAGATGGAAGGTACTCTGTAAAAAGAATTAGAAGTAAGTACCAGGTGAGAAAAATCTGAAGGAATGCTTTAGTCTTCCTTCCCAAGACTGCGCTGAACCAAGAAAGAAGGCACAATTCTAAGCTTTAAATTAATTTTATTTGTTTACATTTAAGGTTGTCTGGAAGTTGTTTAAAATGTCAAAATAACTACCTCCCCATATATGCACACATGCACGCACACAAATGCGCACATACGCGCACACACAATTTCAAATAGGTGACAATGTGGGAGGAAACAGAGCAGCAAAGCAAAACTTTATGGGTGTCTTGGGTTAGAAAGCCTACTTGCAAGTCAACAATTGTCCTGAGTTTCCTTGCATATAAGCATATAAAGTAAGTAAATAAAAACACACATGGCATTTTTTTTTTCCTGTTTTTCCCCCCCTCTTCATTTTATTGTATAATACCTCTCCAAGGGTTAGCAGTGCTCAGGACTTTTTCTGGGTGTTTAGTAATTTTATCTGCTGTACTTATAGGAATAGAAAGAACAAACTTCAAATAACACAGAGCGAGAACAATCACTGCCCGTTAACTTTCCTAGTTATGACAGACCACCTAATACACAGCAGACACTGTGCGGTGTACATGGCACTCAATAAATAGTTATAATGGTAAATCATACATTTTTAAGCACGTCTTTTTAAATAGCAAGGAAGCCCCAACTGATTGGATACTGATGGATTATGAAATCTACCTATGGGTGAAGTAATCATACTTGCAGGCTGCCTATGTGCGCTATTTTATTTTTAAGGGTTTTATTCAGTTTTATGCCATCATCTCCGTTTGTGGGTTTGTAAACACAGGCACAAAGCTAGTTAGCACACCCACCCCAACCCAGGAGCCAGCCGCCTCCGGGGCCGATTTCTCACTGGCAACAAAGCGTCCACCGGCTCCCTGTAAGTCGCTCACAATGGCCCGGTGCAGCCTAAGCATCCCTACAATGGAGTCCTTCTCCGCGACAAGCGGGGGCGGCCAGGCCGAGGACGTTCGCCCTGGCCGCTCGCTTGGCTCTGTGGCCAGCGCAATCCCATCCGACACCCGCCCAGGTCGACCCGCAGCCCGGGGCGCACTCACCGCGCAGGCCGCCACTGTGCTCGCCTCGCGCCTCGCCCGCCGGAAGTGCGGGCTGTTAGCGGAGCTGCGGGCCGCTCTAGGAAGAGGCGGAGAGACCCTCTATGGTCCTCGGCCCGCACCACCGAGTTCCGCCGATTCTTCCGGTGGTCCTTTTGTATTCCTCACCTACCACTTGGAAAGTTGACTCCAGGACCGACCGCCAGGCCTGTCACCTGCTCTCTTTGTAGTCCGGTCGACTTACACAGAACCTGGCATTTGTTAATTTTTTTTTTTTCTGACCAGCCTGTCCAACTTGTAAATTGCATTCTTTGTACCGAATATCTAGTATAAAGAAATAACGTCAGCCTAAGGTGTTAGAGTCGAGAATTTCTGGAAGACACTGTCTGCAGAGGCTGATTGACAGATTAACGCTACAGTGATGAAGACAGATTGGGATGTTGCAGGTCCAGAGCATAATTCCTGTTTATCTAGGGCTGCATTTAGCCCCTTACGCGTCTGTAATTTGCCCAACTCTGTGGACGTATGGGTAACAACCTGACAGATAAAATACCTTTGGAATGTATTACATAAAATCCCTATCTCCAATCAGAAGGCCAAGAATGCTATCGGATAAGAGCTACAACTGAGATGTCTCTCCTGGGCTGTAACCTATCTCTCTGAGGTTTTCCACAGATACATTTAAAAGTGTCTTGATGTATGAAATTCTTTGTTCTGGAATTTTAAAACTGTCAGGAAAATAGTTGCAGGTTGGAAGGTGGAATTTGAGTAATTTAAATCGGTGTTCTTTGGGCCATGGTCACTCATGTTTGACTCCAGGGTAAACTGTTAGGTCTTTGAAGTGAGAGATGTGGTTTTGTATGAGCCCCTCCTATCAGAAGGAAACAAACACATACAACTTATTAGGCAGGAACCTCAGCCTGGAGAGGAAGTTTGTTCAAGTTCACGCTGTGAATGAACAGCCTAGTTTGGAAAGGCCCTTGTTTACCTCCTCCTCTGAGGAGTCCTTCTGGTGTAAAGACTTCAGACTCATCCGCATGCTGCAGACTCCTTCACTGGCAACCTCACTCGGATCCTGTAAGGGTCGTATGGGCTCAGGACCCTCAAGACCAAGTTCTCAGCCCAAAGGAGATTGATTTTCTCCAGAGGGACAGAGGGCAGGCAATAAGAGACAAAGACAGGAGATAAAGGACCAGGGAGAAGGGAGAGGGGAAAGGGGCATTTGTTCTGCAGAGGAGCGAAGGACTGCCTCTGGATAGAGGGGAGACAGATGTGGCCATAGAAGAATGGCAGTTTATAAAGGTAAAGGGGGAAACCCCATGTTAGGATGAGGTATTTAATTTTGATTGGGCATGTTAATTAGATGTGCCAAAGCTGGTCTTTGATTGCTGGACTTCAATACTTTGATAGCTGGACTTTGGTAGTCAGCCTCAGGAGGTGGAAGCAGCCAAATAAGGAATATGAAGGGACACTAGCTCACTGGAACTTGTGGTTCTGGCAGGCCTTGCCTTCCTCCCCAGTTTCCTCTGCCTTGCTAAAAACCATTAGACTATATTCCTAAAGCTAGTCACCAAGGTCTCTTCCCTTATTTGGCCGCTTCTTCCTCTGAGGCTGACTACAAAAGTTCAGCAATCAGAAGCCCCTTTTGGTTCACCTAATTAACATGCCTAATTAAAGTTAAACACCTCATCCTAACACAGAATTTACCCTTTAGTGTAAGATGTGTTGCTTTCATTGGTTAAATAAAGAAACTGCCTTGGCCTTTTGATAGGGAAGAACTTAGATAGGCGGGGAAGACAGAACTGGATGCAGGGAGGAAGAAGGCAGTGTGGCAGACATATCTCTCCTCTCCAAGACAAATGCTGGTTAGACTTATGCCGGTAAGCCACAGTCAAGAGGCGATACACATTAATGGAGATGGGTTAAACGAGTACGTAAGAGTTAGCCAATAAGAGGTTAGAACTAATGGGCCAGGCAGTATTTAAATTAATACAATTTCCATGTGGTTCCTTGGAGGGTTAAGCTAGCTGGGTGGCAGGACGCAGCCTGCTACTCCCTCGTACTACAACCCTTTACGTTTATAAATCTCCATTTGCCTATGTGCCATGTCTGTTTCCTCTCTTTGTCCCTCTTCCCCTTTCCCTTGTCCCCCTTCCCCTTGTCCCTGTCCATTATCTCCTTTACCACCACACCCTCACCCATTCTAGCACAGACCTCCCCTTCTTTGCCTTTTAAAAGTTACACCTGCAACCGGATGGTGGTGGCACACCCCTTTAATCCCAGCACTCAGGAGGCAGAGGCAGGTGGATCTCTGTGAGTTCGAGCTGAGCCTGGTCTACAGAGTGAGTTTCAGGACAGATTATAAAGCTACACAGAGAAACCCTGTCTCGACAAACCATGGGGGGGGGGGAAGAAAGAAAGAAAAATTACACCTGCAAGGTCACTTGCTGCTGTTTTCTGAGTCAGAAAAACTTTTCTTCTCCCCTTAATACAGGATCTCTATCTGAAAACAGATGTTTGGGTATGGTTTGTGCCTAATCTGGGAGGAAGTCCCCCACTGATGGCTGGGTGAGTGTTCCCCTTCTGAATAAACCTTGGGGGTCTAGCTTTAGGAACATAATCCAACAGTTTTCTTTAGCAAGGCAGAGGGGATGGGGGAGAAGGATAGGCCTGTCAGAGCCATGCTTACCATGCTCCAGCTGGCTAGAGTCCCTTCAGATCCTGTGTCTATAAATGCAAGTTCCCACAAAGAAGCCCCACCTTCCACCACACCTGCTGTAGGACTGGTCAGATACATGGGCTTCAATAGTTGTAGAGATCTTGCAATGTTGCAGGTCCAGAGCACAGTTATAACATTTTGGGGATTATCTTCAACCCCCTGAATAACTACTCCTCTGTTGTAAGGAGCTGCTTGTTTGTTCCCAACTGCTTGGCAACTCAGATTCGAAATAATCACACAGAAACCATATTATTTAAAACACTGCTTGGCCCCTTAGCTCTAGATTTTTATTGACTAACACTTATATCTTAATTTAACCCATCTCCATTAATCTGTGTATTGCCACGTGACTGTGGCTTACTGGCTAAAGTTCTGGCATCTGTCTCTGGTGGGGCTACATGGCTTCTCTCTGACTCTGCCTCCTTTCTTTCAGCATTCTGTTCAGCACACCCCCATCTAAGTTCTGCCCTATCAACAGGCCAAGGCAGTTTCTTTATTCACCAATGGTATTCATAGCATACAGAGGGGAATCCCACATCACTCCTCTGCCCACCTCTGTCAGAATAACATCCTGTGACTAATAGGTAAAACGTTTTGGGATATGTTAATTTAACAAGACCATATTTTCAACAGCCAAATATCCAAGAGTCTTCGATGGTGCTGAGGCCTGCAGCTGAGGTTTCTCCACATTCCTGTAACCCCCACCCCGTGTTCCCACCAGTTTGTTTCAAAGTGTCTGAAGTTATGACTTTCTTTGTTCTGTTGCTACAAAAACTTCATGAAACTGCTCCCATGTTGGAACATGAGATTTGGAGTAACCTTAAATCTGTGTTTCCAGGTCATGGTCATTTATATTTATCTCCAGAATAAACTCTCTTGTCCCCTTTGAGGTGAGAGCTGTGTTTTTGCATTAGCAGATGCAACAATTCAGAACTGCAGGCTCATCCATCCAGTTGTTTAAGGGCTTGGGGTCCCATTTGAATGTTTGATGGGTATGCCAGATCTAACATGCCCATCCTTAATAGTCTTCAGCCATGCCATTGTTTCAGCTGCATGAGCGAAAATCTTCAATGCCATTGTTGTCATTTTTCCCCACTCTATTACCATCTAGGGGTCTTGGTTGGATTCATTTTTTCTCATCAATTAAGGAATTAAAAGGCAGTAAAAAAAATCTCAGATACAACAGGAAACAACAAAAAAGGCTAAAAAGCTATTATGTATGTGAGTGTATGTGTTTTGTGTGAGAGAGAAAGGAGATATATCTTTATAGATATAGATATAGATATAGAGAGATATATAGATATACTCTTCACAAGGTAGAAGGGGTATTCAGAAATCAAAATCCATGGGATTTTTAAGTCTTTTTAATGTTTTGGGTTTCTTGCACAAGCTAGAGACATTTACAAAGAGGGATTCTCAATTGAGAAACACCCTCCACCTTAAGATCTACCTGTAGGCAGGTGTGTGGGGTATTGTCTTGATTAATGGTTGATGTGGGTGGGCCCAGCTCACTGCAGGTAATGGCACCCCTGGGAAGATAACTCTGAGGTATATAAGAGCACAGGCTGAGAGAGCAGTGGGGAGGAAGCCAGCAAGCAGCACTGCTCCATCACTTCCTGCCCTGCTTGAGTTCCTATCATGACTTCCCTCAGTAATGGGTGTTATCTGGAAGTATAAGATGAAATAAACCATTTCCTTCCCACGTTGCTTTTTATTATGGTGTTTATCGCAGAAATAGCTGACAGATCCCTAACTTTAGGTAAACACACTCAGGATTGGTCTTGAACATATCTGAACAGCCAGAAGGAGGGTCCTGCTGGCAGAAGAAAATTCCACCAGGCCTGCCCCTGTCTCAGGTCAGAATGGTACCAAAGAAGCCAGGAGTCTACCAACTTTATTATTTATCTGTGACCCCATCTTAGTTAGGGTTTCTATTGCTGTGAAGAGTCACCATGACCACGGCAAATCTTACAAAGGAAAAATATTTAATTGAGGCTGTCTTGTAGTTTCAGAGGTTTAGTTCATTGTCATGGCAGAAAGCATGGTGACATGGCTCTGGAGAAGGAGCTGAGAGTTGTACATCTAGATCTACAGGCAGCAGGAAGTGAACTGGCTTGAGCTTCTGAGACCTCAAAGCCCATCCCTCAGTGACACACTTTCTTCAACAAAGCCACATCCACTCCAACAAGGCCATGCCTCCTAATGGACTAAGTATTCAAACACATGCATTTTGGGGGGCCATTCCTATTAAAACCACCACAGACCCTGGGCTAGTTTGAATGTAATTGACCCCCATAAGCTCACTGAGAGTGACACTGTTAGTAGGTGTGGATTTGTTGGAGTCGGTCTGGCCTTGTTGGAGGAAGTGGGGGTGGGCT